TTAAATATAAAAAATCTAAAATATAATTAGGATAACCATTGAGTTCTAACAGAATATTTAATTATTATCTTTATAAAAAAAATTATATTATTAAATCTAAATTAAATTACTTCATTACTAAACCTAAATTAAATTATAATAAAAAATTTTTAAATTAAGAAAATTACACCAAAACAAGAATTTTAAAAAAAATTAATTTGATACTGATATCGATATATATTTTTTTTCAAAAAATTATGATATTTTTAATTTATATTTTATTCAAAAATAAAAACATTATCGCGTTCTCAAAACCACATGAAACCATATTATATCGATATAAAAAAAAAGAATAAAACAAAACACCGAAATCAAGATGTGTCTTGATACATTACACAAATACCCTTCTAATAAAATATTATTTTTCTTAAATATTTATTTTCAAAATTTTCTACAAATAAAATATATTAAATAATATTTCTTTATTATAATTATTTTTGGAGTGTCTTTAAGATCGGAGATTTCTTTTACACACTTTCCTCTTATTTTTTATTTTGGAGAATTTTTTGGAGTAAAAAAACATGACGAAAATCTCAATTTTTGGAAATTTGTTGGTGATGTCTAATAAAAAAAAAGGGCAAATAAGTAATTCATATTACCATCTCAGAACCATTTTTATTTGAATATTTAAAAAGCGATTGCCAAAATACCAAACCTGATCTTGGTCCTTTTCTCTTGCCGTCCACCATCACTCTCACGTTGACACCGGCGCACATACATGCGAAATTTGTTCGTCTGCCGCTTGATATTTTCAAGTTTGTCGCCTGACTTCATCGACGACGATAAAAACTGGATTGAAGTTTGTATTGCTAATCTTCCTCAGTGATCAAATGTTAATGGAGTTGGAGCTTTAGGATGTTCGTATTGCAGTATGTTGTTTAGGTTTTACAATTCTTTAAACCTCAATATTTTGAGGAGACAATCTCCGTGCAAAGACACAAGATTGAAGAGTTTTTTTGGGTAAGTTTCTTTTTCTTGCAACTGTATTTGCTTACAGTATCATGTAATGCAGATCACGTGCTTGATAAAATTCCTAGGTTACGATGAATTCCTAGGTTACGATGCATTATGATGAACTTTAAGTTTGAGTTTTGACGTCAAACCCATTAAACAATCGTCCTGTACTCAAATTGCTTTGGTAGGCCAACATTCTAATTTGTAAATAACCGGTATTGCTACTGTCCTATAGACTTTACGTTTTAACTTGGATGGGTCTTTTAAATCACATAGATCTCCTGAAGCTAATCACCATTTCATTCACCCACTTTTTTTGGGGTATTGCTAGGACTGACATTTTCTTCAACCCCACTTTCATCCTAGGACTGACATTTTCTTCAGCCCCACTTTCATCCTAGGACTGAAGCCAAGTTCTCAGTTTCTTTGACAATTCATTGTTAGCTTTATAGTGATTCTTGACAACTGAACCAGAAATACATTGCAGCTCCAGTTGAAGTAAATAAACAATCAGCTTGTTATCTCCAAAGACTCCAAGATGCGAAATTGCAATAAAGCAAGTCCAGCTCTTTTAAATTCTCTCTAAACACTATTGAGTTTTGTTAAATTGCTTAGAAGCATAAGCTTTTTTTCAAGAAAATACACTATTTTTGAGAGATTCAGTATATAGGATGTTAGATTTGCAAACATTTGGTCCTGTGAAAACGTCTTCTGAATTTGCACTCCTTTTTTACTCCACCTTTGTATAACTTTCTGAAGGTACACAGTTATTTACAAGTCCATGATTATGGGCTTATGGCTTCTCCAGGATGGTGGATTTTCTCATTTTTATTATTATTTTTTATTTCAAAATAATCTCCTGTTCTTAATGCATTCAAAGGGAAAACCAACAATTTGTCTTATTAATAACAAGCAATCATAAAATTCTCTGTTCATATTGTAGATTTTAGCTAACTGTATTTTTCTTGGTGCAGGTTATTTTGGGATATCAACAAACGAAATATGTGTGAGGATGGCAAGGCTAACACCCGGATTCTTTTTTGTGGACCTCATTTTGCAGCTTCACATAACTACACCAAAGAATACTTGCAGAACTGTCCATCTATCCAGGTTTTTTAATTGATGAAATAATATTAGATGGCAAACAGGACTTCAGAATTGCTTAATCTAATGAACTTCTGTACCTCTTATTTCATAGGTTGATGATCTTCCATTTGCTAGTATACCTGATCTTATTGGCAACTATGATATCTGTGTGGTGAAAAGCATGCGGCTTAATTCAGATGTTATTGCTCGTGCAACTCGGATGAAGCTCATAATGCAGTATGGTGTTGGCTTAGAAGGTCATTGTCCATTTAATCTTTGTGTACTGAACTGTAGAACTAAAATTTCTGACCTCCTAGCGCTCTAAGAAGTCCAACTACTTCTATGAATTCAATTCTTTTTCAATCTTTAAATGAAGGTATTGATATAGCTGCTGCTACAAACCATGGATTAAAAGTTGCAAGAATTCCCAGTGGGGAAACAGGAAATGCTGCTTCATGTGCTGAAATGGCCATCTATATCATGTTAGGTCTTCTCCGCAAGCAAGTAGGTTCTCATACTAATCTACTAACTAATACTTTTATCAATTTACATTTTCATGTATGTTAATACAGTAGGTTGCTTGCTACAAGTTTCCAGTTTTACGTCATAGCTATTGTATATTTACTAGTGAATTTTCTTTGTGACCCTTTTTAATACTTATACATTGAGGTAGTTGCTTCAAGAAGACTAGACATCTACAAATCCTTGGGTTTATTTAGGCGCTTGAATCATTAACTTTTGAAGTCTAAGCTTTTAGTATGTTGGTCATTTCTGATGCATATAATGATGAAACCCAATTCATTCAAATTGCTAAGATATTGTGGTCTTGAGCAAGTCTCTTCGTAGAGTTCTGAAAATGTCCTTCAGCTCTGCTATGCTGTGCATGCTTAGTATTTGTGATGTTACTTCCAAATACCCATTACTCTGGATACAACGGGTGCTTGTACAATCCCTTCTTCTAATCTGCTTGCTTGACCTTATTTATTCATTTCTTGACCATGGTTGTAAATTGTTAATAGTACTGTTGCCCACTCAGAATGCATTTTTCTTATACTATGCTTTTTTCCTTGTCCCCCCCATTCTTTTACATCTCTCTCTCTTTCTCTCTCTTATTTATATCCACTTAAATCTTGGTGCAGAATGAGATGCAATTTGCTGTAAAGCAAAAGAAACTTGGGGAACCAATTGGGGATACATTGCTTGGAAAGACAGTAAGCTCAATCAATTATTCACCAGTCTTGTATCTCGTATTTGTACTAACATGCCAGATTATTTTGGATTCCTTTCTGATGACTGATCATTTGTTTTAAATTAGAAGAGACCTTAAAGCAGATCCTCTTGGTACGTAGACCTCCCTACGAAAAAGAACAAATATGAAGAAACAACCTCTGTACAAGTTGAAGCTTTAATGACGTACAACTTTTGAAGTTCAAACTCCATTCATGAGGCTCTAAGAAACAGCCTGCAGTCAAGTTAAACCTTACAACCTTTGAACTTCGAACTCCATGGTTCTGTTCAATATAAAAATATTCTTATACAATAACTTGAGGAAATTTGTTATGGGTTTAGTTGGGCTGGATCATAATGTAAATAAACCAAGCATTCTAAAAGTTCATTCTGAAGGGCCAAAAGGGCAGAAAAGGAAAGTGGCTAGAAGTTGGTTAGAGGAGAGGGTTTTACCATTAAATAGGAGGGAGGTGAAACGTATTTTGGGCAGAGAATGTTTTTCCTAAGTTTCTATTGGCTCTTGCATTAGTGCGTTGAGAGAGGGAGGATTCCCCAGTTCATTTTTCTGTTATTGTAATTCCTTTCAATTTCAATTTCATACAACCGATTTCTTCCTTGTTCATTTTTTAGTCGATCTTAATCTGTTGATTCCCATCATTGGTCCGACCTACCTTGACTTGCTGTGTGGAATCCATGGAAACTTGATCTCAATTGAACCGATTGGAGCAACATGAAGTACAGATTCAGAGGTTGCAATCGGATATCCAGGAAATCAAAGTGAGGATTCAAGCGTGGGAATCTGAGCGAGGGGAGGAAGCTGAGTTTCGTAAGATGATTCTGGCGTGGGTGAAACAACAGGGTTCAACCCAACCCTGCCGTTTGGGGTCTCCACCGGATTCCCAATTACACAGACTCCTCAGGGGGGTCAGTCTCCACAGCAAGGTGATAACTCACACTTCTGCTCCATGATTGGGTTCTTCCGATTTGTTACCATGGGCGGCAAAGAAAGTCAAATTGCCTATGGGTTCAATCTTCAGGGATGGATTCAGGAAGCAAAATTATACTTTGACATTCATGGTACACCATCTCACCTTTGAATTCGTCTTGCTCAATTAAGTATGGTGGGTGTAGCACAACACTGGTTAAAGATTGTGAAGCAGATTTACGATCCTCTTATGTGGGAACAATTGTCCATCGAACTCCTCCAACGATTTTCGGGCTTGGAGATTCATAATCGGTTCGAACAATTGGCTACGATGAAACAAATATCTTCTATTCATGATTATACGGACGATATTGAATATTTGCTATCCTTGGTACCTTGATTACCTGAGACACAAACTGTGGGTTACTTTATTGCGGGTTTACGTGATGATGTGAAATGATGGGTACGTCTCCATCGACCTCAGTCTCATCTTGATGCCATGTATCTCGCAAGGATATCAAAGAGATGCTTCGTCCTTCTGCTGGGAATATTTCCCAATCCTGGTTTTGATACCAGGCGGGAGGTGGGTTGGGCTTCTCTTTCCAATCAGATTTCAAATCCAACCCTCTGGGCCGTTACGAAAACAAGGGGCCCAATAGTTCTCTTTCCAGTGAGAAGAGACCATTTACACGCACTGATGTTGGTCGTATGCCCCCAAATCCGCGTACTTCCTAGGCTCCTTCATCAGACTATGGCCAATTGTTCAATCGCAATAGGGATATTCAGTCTCTTACTCATATAGAATGGGAGGAGCGATGTAAGAAAGGGTTGTGTTTCCGTTGTGGGCAGCAATGCGGTCCTGCTCACAAATGCCCCGAAGGGAAATTATGGATTCTTCTCTTGGGCGACGATGAAGCGGTAGACGAGAACGGTGAGCTTCAGACCGTAGAGACAATAGAGGAATCGGTCACTAAAGAGGAGGAAATTCCTCCAAATAGATTATGTATGGCCTTGGAAATTTTTGGGTGCTACTGCTGAATCGTCACTGGGTGGCAAAACCTTAAAGTTGGAGGGGCAGTAGCTGGTATTTGAGTGGTGATTTTGGTGGACAGTGGAGCCACACATAATTTTATGTCATGAAAATTGGTGACCGCTTTAGGGTTATCTTAGGAATTTTTCGATGGCATCAACATTCAACTGGGCAATGGCCATAAAATCCTTATTATTCGACATTGTACGCATCTTAAAGTTCGAGTAGGGACATGTGAATTCGAGGTGGAGGCGATGGTATTTGACATGGGGCATTTGAACATGGTTTTAGGCATGGAGTGGCTTAAGACTTTGGGAGAGGTGATCCATAACTGGGAACAATCTTTCATGAAATTTGTATTCCAAGGGAAGTCGGTGTGCATCCAAGGTCTATCTAAAGATTAAGTCTCTCAAGCTTCTCTTCAAATGTGGTTGTCATTAGACAATCCTTCTCAAGGTTGTCTTTCGAGTACTACTTTGTCTGGCCAAAACGAATAGGAGGAGTTATCCTTTGCACAACAAAAGGATTTACAATCCTTGTTTGACCATTTTTCAGCAGTATTTCGGGATCGAACAGGATTACCCCCACGACATGATCACAATCACAAGATTTCTTTAATCAATTCTCATGAACCAATTTGTGTTCGGCCGTACAGATATTCCCATGTTCAAAAGGCTCAAATTGAGAAGCAAGTAGAGGAACTTCTGAATCTTGGTATGATTCGACCAAGTAAAAGCGTTTTTTCCAGTCCAATAATTTTGGTCAAAAAGAAAGATCAATCGTGGAGGATGTGTGTGGATTATCGTGCTCTCAACAAAGCCACGATACCTGATAAGTTTCCTATTCCGGTAGTCGAGGAACTTGTTGATGAATTGAAGGGCACATTTTTTTCTTCTCTAAATTGGATTTGAAGTCCGGTTATAATCAAATCAGAATGCAACCGGATAGCATTGATAAGACGGCATTTTGCACCCATAATGGTCACTATGAGTATTTGGTAATGCCATTTGGGCTCACCAATGCAACGACAACCTTTCAAGCTGTTATGAATGATATTTTTTGGCCATTTCTACGTAAATACGTGGTGGTTTTCTTTGATGATATTCTTATTTATAGCCTGACTTGGTCAAATCATATGGAAGATTTATCAGTGGTGTTACACGTTGTACTTGAAAATCAATGTGGTAAATCGAAAAAAGTGTTTGTTTGGCAATCATCGATTGATTACTTGGGTCATATTATTAGTGGCAATGGAGTGTCCATGGATCCAAAAAAAATTGAGGTTGTTCTGGATTGGCCAGTTCCAAAACAACTAAAAGGGTTACGGGGATTTTTGGGTCTTACGGGATATTATCGAAAGTTTATTCGCCACTATGGCAGCATTGCAAAACTGCTCACAGATCTCACAAAGGATGCCTATGGTTGGAACTTGGAAGCTCATCAAGCCTTCAAAACACTTAAAGTTACCATGGTGACGGCCCAACTATTGGCACTTCCTGGTTTTACTCAACCATTTATAGTCGAATGTGACGCATTGGGTAAAGGAATCGGAGCAGTCTTAATGCAAGAACAACGTTCAATTGCTTACTTTAGCAAGGCTTTGAGTGAACATAATTTATCTAAGTCGGCTTATGAAAGAGAGATCATGGCCTTGGTTCTGGCGGTTCAACATTGGCGAGCTTACTTATTGGGAACATGTTTTACGGTGTATACGGATTAGAAAAGCTTAAAGTTTCTATTACAACAACGAATTACGAACACGGGGAAACAAAATTGGTTTGGACGCCAGTTTGTTATAAGCATGGTCGTGAAAATCGGGCTGCTGATGCGTTATCACGTGGGGCTGAAGAAGGTGCACTGACTTCGTTAATATCCTGGACTGTCCAAGGGGCCTAGCTTATTGAAGAAGCCTGAAAGGATGCTAATATTCAGAAAATGGTTCAAGACTTGCAACATGATCCTAATTGTCACTCGGGTTACAACGTTAGACAAGGAATACTTTATTATAAGGACCATCTGGTGATTTCTCGTACATGGAAATTTATTGCTTGCTTAATCAAAGAATTCCATGAATCAGCTTTGGGAGGGCATTTCGGCTATTATCGAACTTACCGTCGTTTAGCACTTAATCTGTATTGGCCGAGAATGATAGCTACTGGACAACAATTTGTGAAGTCGTGCAACGTGTGTCAACTTTGCAAATCGAGTTCTACCACGCCAGGGGGTCTTTTGTAGCCCTTGGACATTCTAGATACGGTTTGGGAACCTCTCTCAATGGATTTTATTTTGGGCTTACCTAAGTCTAAAGGTTTTGATGCAATTTTAGTGGTGATAGATTGTCTTTCGAGATACAATCACTTCATTCTTTTAAAACATCCATATACAGCAAGGTCAATAGCCGAGATCTTTGTTCGGGAAGTGGTACGTCATCATGGGGTTCCTAAGTCTATTCTTTAGCGACCGTGATCCATTGTTTCTCAGTCAGTTTTGGCAAGAAATTTTTCGTCTACAATGAACTCAATTACATGAGTTCTGCGTATCATCCGGAATCTGACAGTCAAACTGAAGTCATCAATTGTTGTCGGGAAACATATTTGAGATGTTTTGCAATTGATCAACCTCGTTCATGGTCAATTTGGATTCCTTGGGCCAAATTTTGGTACAGTTCTACTTTTCATGGATCAACTGGAAAGTCGCCTTTTGAAACGGTTTATGGGCGAAAATCACCCACTGTAATTCAGTTTATTTCAAGGGAGATCCGGGTAGAAGCTGTGAGCCAAGAATTACGGGATCGTGATGAAGCACTAAAACAACTTAAGGTACATTTATCGCATGCCCAGGCGATTATGAAAGAACAAGCAGATAAAAAAAGACGTGAGGTAATGTTGGTGAATGGGTTTATGTGAAGTTGAAGCCTTATTGATAGTTGGCTGTGGCTCATTGCATCCATCAAAAGTTAGCAGCTCGTTACTTTGGGCCCTTCAAAATCGTGAATCAAATTGGTCCGGTAGAATATAAATTACTGTTGC